CTTTTAAATTTTACATTTCAAAATTGCCATTTTACATGTCATAATTTCTTGGTTTCATTCGTTTAGCCGATCATAACATTGTAAAACAATAAATCGTCTGTTTACGTATAATCAATTTTGTTCAGTTTTGATTAGTTGTCAGAATGAAGTTACAGTTAGTTCATCTGAATCCATGTTTCAAAACAAAAATCATATTTTCTTCACTTCAAAATACTTCAGTGAGATGAATGCTCGGAATTGTCGTTTGCAATAACTTATTGTCGTATTCGTTCTTTTATCTACTCGATAGAAGCATTTAGTGGTACATTTGATGCCAGGTCACCTTCTCGCGTACCTATTGGGGAGCCCCACATTTGTGTCTGTACTCATGGAAGTAAATTCTCCGGTGTAGCCGAGAGCCACAAACTTTCAACAGGTTCGAAATGGCCAATTTCTCTCATATATACTCATATTTTATTTATAATTATCACCTACAAAGTATTGAACTATATGTAATTTCAATAAGGAAACTTATCTGGCTACATGTAAATTCAATATCAACACTAGATGTTCGCTCAACACGTCCTGGCTTACCTTGTGATGACAAACCCTGGGTTTTCGCTATTTATAGTTTATCAACACCTAAACGCATGCGCATTTTATAGTTTATCAGGCACTTTAAACTGCAACAGACCAAGGAAAAACAAACCATCCCAGACTGTAACTAGCCACTTTTGTTTCATCCCCTCTGGAATTTGGACATATGTTACATATTTGCCCATAGCGACAGTGTTACCATGGCTGTTGCACTTTGGAACTATGCAATGTGTGTGGATAATTTTTTTAGAGTCCCGACTCTTATTTTGAAATCTAGTGACATGGTACCTGTGGTAAGCTTGTGGGCCAAATCCAATCTCAGCCTGGAAAAATAAATCATTTTTCATCGTTTATATTCATTGATAAAAATCCAACAAACATAAACACGATTTACAGTAGATGTTTTCGGTTTGGGCAAAGAAAAATAAAACTAGATGCCGGAGCCATAATAAACGGATCATCATATTCATTGATAAAATATGGTTCAATAAAAATAGCAAGATTTACAGTAGTAGGTTTATGAGTAAGAGCGAAGACCCCATAAACTCATAGGCTTTGGCTAGGATGAAGATGGCTTTGATGATCAATAAACATGCATAAGTGTCAAATTGTAGATAGTATTTGAGCTTATTATTAATCACAGCTTTTAATAATACTTGTAAAAACGTACGACAACTAGACAAAATGGAATTGTATTTCAAAATATTACAATAAACATTGCACAATCTCTGCAGGATATTCGGATCTGTCATAAGGGGTCTTATGAGCAAAGGCAAAATGGCTTAACATTTTTGAGAATTGCCGGTATAATGGACATATAAATGAGAACTCTGTTTGAATATTTAGTTGGAATATACCTATTAAATGACATTGGTACATGGGAGTTTGATTATTCATAGAATATAATGATAACTTACCATGATCAGCAGAATATAATTGACACTGAAACCGGCACTGAAAAAGGTAAGTCTGTTATGTACTATCAGATTTTGATTTTCCCGCTGTACTATGCAGGACAAGACTCCGCGAGTGACGTCACTGCTGTATTCAGCGGCCTTATGAATATTCATGACGTGACTTTATGGAAAGGTGTATAAGCATGTCACACTGTCTAAATGACACTTTTGGTAGAAGGTGGCCATTTTGAAAAATGGCTGCCATTTTTTGCTATATACTTTGTTGGGGGGGGGGGTGTATAGGGGGTCTTGGAAATCCATATACAATATTTTCCAGCTCTCTTATACCATATACAATATTTTTCACCACTTTTATACCATATACAATATTTTTCACAGCTCTTATATGTTATACCATATACAATATTTTACAAAAGTTTAGGTGAATACAATATACGATAATTTTGAAACTGCTGTTGATCGAATATTTGATATTTATAAGGAAATAATATGAGGAGAGAATCCATGTACTACAGAAAATGTGTTATTATAAGGCAATTAGACTCCACATACTTACCACAATGATTTCATTTATTACATTATGACTGACACACCATTCAGGTACATCTGCATGACTTGTTCAGAAATTCTGTGACCACTTTTTTATTTCAGGTAAACAAGTTGATTTAAAACATATTTATAGTATAAGATTCTTGACTTCTCTTTAGTGATTGTACAATCTACTTTGACCAAAACATTAGCTTAACATTTCTGCTAAAGCCAGTATCTGTAAAAGTGCCATAAAGATATTCAAAATTAGCACTAAAATCGCATCATTGGAATGGGTGGAACTCAGTGTACCGCTTTCTTGTGACCTACTTTCCCATGACTTATTTTAATGTCAATGGAATCCTTCATAGGGAGTCAGGGAATTTCTTGAAACATAATTGATGCAAAATTGAGAATGTGGAATAAAAGATTCATCATATGTTCTCTGAAAATAAAGTTTGCTGAGGTAAATATGTACATTATATAACACTATTAGGAATATAGTGAAGATTCACAATGCACAATAATTAAGACAGTCACCTGGAAAATATTAAGTATTGAAAACAGTTTCGGAAACAATTATTAAAGGACTTCACAAACTTCCATGTAGATAATTCATTTTTGATTGGACTCGAGTCTGGACTAGAGTTTGAAATAAAGGCAAGATGAGACTTGATTGTTTGATCATTTGACTCGGAGACACTTCGGTGTTTTAGATAAGGCAGCCTTAAAAACAGTATAAGTCAAACAAAAGTGTGTCAAAATTAAGCAATGATTTCAAGGCAAAGATGTGTTGATGAGAAGGAAAACTACTCTATGTAACTCAAAATAACTTTCTTTTAAAGGACCACGGACGGTATTGCTACAGATTTCAGTCATATGTTGGATTTTGGCTATTTTCTGAGGATTTGAACAGATGCATGTGTTAGGCCAGGATTAACTCCAGGACAAGCAGTCAAAGAGATGATAAAATGATTTAGACTTTAAGACAGGGAGGGTGCAAACACCCAATCAACATGTTTTTTCTGTAATGTTGTCCTGATTTCCAGTCTTAAATATCTTTTTTTCAATATTTGTTGTATTAACATGTTGTGTTTTGAGACACGGTCAACATCTTTAAAAGAAGATATGATTCATGCCGGTGTTTTAAAGATATCAATTCTGGGTGACTAAAATTAAGCTGAAAACAATATATCACATGAGTTTTCCCTATGTGAAAATAACATAAGGAATATTGTTTTCCACTCCAAATGAATCATATTTCCTTTAAATAGGTTGGCTATGTCTACAAATGCGACATATTGATGCACCAAACATTGAAAAAACATGTGTGAAACGGGCAACATTTCAGAATAACGTTCATGGGGTGTTTGCCCCTTCCCTGTCTCAAAGTCCAAATAATTTTATCACCTCTATGAGTGCTTGATTTGGAGTTAATGCATTGGCCTAACATATGCACCTGTTCAAATCCCAATCAATAGCCGAAATCCAACGTGACAGTTTGAAATCAGTTGTGATACCTTCCGTGGTCCTTTCTTTGATTAGCTTTAAGACCACATAAATACCTTTTGCAATAAAGAGGTTATTTAATGTGAGGTTTTTGATACAGGGAATATCTTAGGGAAATACAATTTATCTACCCGAGGGGCCGAGGGTTGATAAATTGTATTTACCGAGGGATATACCCTTTATCAAAAATCGAGCATTCAATAACTGATTTATCCTATACTTAGTAGATTATGAGAATTGAATATGCATTGAATGATAGGGAACCCTAATGTAGTAATTACAAATGATAATTACAATAAAAACATGAATATTTATCTCAATTTAAAGTCCTCAGCAATTTTTTTTCTAAACTCAACAGGTTTTAACATTTAAAAATGTATGAAATTCATTTATGTTTATCAAATAGAGCCAACGTATATCCCGGGAATTCAAAAAAGCACCAAAGAAATTCACGGGGATTGCTGTTATTTAACTGTAACACTACTTAGTATGGGATAAATAAGAATATCTAATGATGCTTGAATAAAAATATACGCTGTATGAACACTTTATACTCAAATATTTTAATGATTTATCCCACATACCCGAAACACAAGTAGCTATAGTGACCATATTTTTCATCAAAGTTGAGAAGAGTCAATGACATTTGGCATTATTATCCGACACTTTATTAACACCTCCTGAGAAAATTTGAATGAAAATGGCAAAACCAGTTGAAAGTAATTTTCTCAAAACTTATTGATCGACCTGGAATGTGGAACCAATTAGAGAGACTACTCTCCCATGTTTTCCAACACGATTACAGTAAAAGAGTCAGCACAATAGAGATTTTCAAGGCACAATTTCTTCAAAATTAGCCTTCCGAGCGTCCAAATTCTTTTTAAAACATATAATTAACCTTCTGGTGCCTTGAGATACCATATACCATATATTTTCTCTTATTCCATATACCATATTTTTTACACCTCTTCCCCTTTGTTTGTACAAGTGCCAACCATGGCTGTTCGATGGGATTTGCTACGCTTTGGCGTTGCTGTTGTCTAGTTAATACCTCCATATATCAAGCGATAAATATGATTATATGTTACCTCTAGGAATAGTGACAAGGTTCGGCACTCCTTGCAATGACTGATGAATAGTCCCTAATTGGTTACTTCGCTATGATATCGAGGAATAAGTTCGCCGTTTGACCGAGTCAATGGGGCATTCAATTATATGGATAAGATGAGAAAAAATCAAATTCTCGGGATTGGAGAGAACATCAGAGCCTATGAAAAGTGAATCGTTTGCTTTGGACAACAGGGAATCTACGGTCATGAATTAATTATGAAATATTATGATATTATGGAAAGTGTGCGTTTATTCTAGTATTTTATAAGAATGACGTTAATGTAAATGAGGACCTGTAGGTGATGGTTAGGGTTATAAACGGAACTTGCGAGGAGTTTATCTCTGGAAGCGGCTATAGTAGAACAATATCGAACATATATGCAACTATAGAGTTTTTAATAATTATACTAATATGGTTTGGAAACGGATTAGTTTTAGTTGCCATAGCAACCACGCCAAAGCTTAGAAATAAAACAAATCTTTTGGTTTTCAGTTTATCAATATGTGATATGTTTTCGGGGATTGTGTTTACCCAATGCACATTTGTGAGTTTTATATATTCTCGGGGATTCGATGATGTTAAGCCGCTGTGTCTGAGCTGTCTTGGATTAATGGCCTTCACGCTTACCGTTTCCTTGGAGACACTTTTGGCTATCGCCGTAGAGCGATACATCAAAATTGTACACGCTCTCTCCTACCCACAGATTATTACCAAGTTGAGAGTTATCATTGCCGTCATCATGGTTTGGATCAGCAATGTGCTCCTACACTGCAGTACGTTCTTTTGGAACAATTACACTTCGACCAAGCGTTGTCATATAATAGACATTCAGACAGTTACATATCTTATCGTTGGCATGTCAATCTTAGTCGTTGCTATGGTTATCATAAATATTCTGTAAGATATTCATGATTGCATGGAAACAGAGGAATGAAATCATATCCATGGAGAGAAGTGCGGGGGTCTCGTCCAGTATGGCCAAGGAAAACAAATTAGCAAAAACAATGGCTCTCGTGAACGGGCTACTCTACCTCTCATGGACACCCTTTGTAATGTTAACATTTGTGCAATTAGGGATGGACGACGAAACTTTAAACACACAATGGATGGGGCACATTTATTATAATTTCACACACGTTCTAGTTGCGAATTCTTTACTTAATCCGCTCATCTATGCAGCGAGAGACAAAGATTTCAAAAATGCCTTTAAACGACTCCTTCGATTGAAAGCTCACGGGAATGGAGTGACGAACTTAAACTCCAATTCTCAGCCCACTGCATCCTCTGAACGCAATGCTCCAGAACTCGTTCCTCCATTTTCCAGTAAAAAAGAAGCTTGGAAATGAGACACGGAGGATTAGCCAAACAGTGCGTCAAGTGGTAACTAGAGCCGAAAATCTGGAGATGTTATAGACATTTTATATTAAATTGAAATTGAAATAATGTATGTACAAATATATAATTTTTGTACTCGCAATCGAGATCGAAAATAAATCACTATAGTCTAGATACAAGCCCTTGTGCCCTTTTCCAACTACTCATCCCAGCATCACTGTGTGAGAAGGTGAGTAGTCAAGTAGAAGGGGGGGGGGGTCACATGGTCTTGTAGCTAGACTAGAATCACTACACCCTGTCCTGTTTACTTTTTATGGTTCCATTTCTAATTTCATACACATAGTGAATTGATTTGCTGCGTAGGGAGAGGTCGATCGTGAGTGCAGCTAGTGCACCTGATCTCTTGGGAACCTTTAGTATTACCATACCCAAGCTTCAAAAGGTATCGTTTATATCAATTGTAATGGTTAATGTGGAGATGCTAATTGAAATTATCTACATTGTGATTATTGTACACTGTTCTATCACTCCTCGATTAATAAAAATAAAATGTAGTACAAATTATATAATATCATACTCTCCTTGAAACGGAGGAAATACTATATCTAGTAATCATCACTGCTACTCACCTAGTTACGCTGACGGTGCGTCAGCGTAACAAGATGGAAGAACTTCCGGGCTTCGTTTTCGGTAAGATATTTTTATTTCTCGATTCTACACCACTTATAAGTTAAGTTTTGGACAATACTTTGGCTCAAAGTTAAGGAAGATCACACATTGGCAATATGCATGAAGATCGTCAACGTAACAAAAGCGTGGAACTAAATATGTGAATTGCATCTTCGTTGATATACCAAACATAGAACCGCCTGCATATTCTCAAACAAGACTATCTTCCTTAAACTTTGAGCCAAATTATTGTCCACAACTTGACTTATAAGTGGTGTAGAATCGAGAAATAAAAATATCTTACCGAAAACGAAGCCCGGAAGTTCTTCCATCTTGTTACGCTGACGTATCGTCGGCGTAACTAGGTGAGTACCAGTGGTAATGAAACATGAACATTCTGGACCAATGTATCGTCATACTTTTGAACTCCATACGTGTGATACGCGTTAAGAGGTATTTCAAACATCGTCAAACATTTTGAACGTTGTCAAGAATAATTTGAAGGGCGAAAAATAACTCTGAACACTACAAGGTAACAGTCGATCAAAGTAATCGTAAAATCAATGAAACTTTATTTTCGTTAGAATTTGACTCCAAGAAAAACTGCAGTTGTTACTTTAAGATATAATATATTACTTTTAGTCAAATGCAAATAATGCCTGGTATTCTTGCTATATGAATAACGTTGGATGTGATCTAGAGCCACACATACACAAAAATGGCATGTTACATCACACCCGGTGATCGTACAAATGGGATGGAGGGGGGGGGATTAGGCGATTTCTGCAAGAAAACACAACAAATTTGCAAGATTTCTTTTTTCAAGAGAAAATTTACAACTGAATTGCCAAATTAATAGACGCAGTGCATGGCAAAATATGTTAGGTCATCTAGTATTTTTTGAACTGATACCCTTCTAAGATATGAGAGATTTATTAAAAAAGGTGCATCATCACCAACGTGCAAAAGTCAATGTTTTTGCTATAAATCGGGCAACAATGGTCTACACGACCTGTTATAAATAGGTATAAGGGACATTATTATCACAATACTAATGACATTGCTCACTTTTTAAAGTTAGCTTCCATGCGTTATACAAAAAATAATCGAAATAAATCAATATGGGATGGAGGGGGGGGGGGGATAACGTGTATATAAGACATGATAAGACATGCTTCTTGAATTTATTCTTAAGACTCCAAATTTTCCCATTTTTCATTCTCCAGAGATATAATATCCAGTTTCTTACTGGGGTACTGAGTCTAATTTTTTCAAATACAATAGTTCTTGTGAATTTGTTCCATCGTAAAGACATATAACCCCCCCCCCCTCCATCCCATATTAATTTATTTCGATTATTTTTTGTATAACGCATGGAAGCTAACTTTAGAAAGTGAGCAATGTCATTAGTCTTGTGATAATAACGTCCCTTTTACCTATTTATGACAGGTCGTGTAGACCATTGTTGCCCGATTTATAGCAAAAACATTGACTTTTGCACGTTGGTGATGATGCGCCTTTTTTAATAGATCTCATATCTTAGAAGGGTATCAGTTCAAAAAAAACTAGATGACCTAACATATTTTGCCATGCACTGCGCCTATTTATCTGGCAATTCAATTGTAAATTTTCTCTTGAAAATATAAATCTTCCAAATTTGTTGTGTTTTCTTGCAGAAATCGCCTAATCCCCCCCTCCATTCCAATTGTACGATCACCGGGCGTGTACATGTATAATTGAAATATAAACATGAACTAGATCTAAATCAAACCAAAATCTTAATTAATCAACACAATTATCAAAGGCTATGAATACGCTTACGTTCGTTCCAACACTAAACGTTTGCTTGCAATGTTTAGGATCTCCCGTTCTTATAATAAGCTATACCCAAGATAAACTAAATGGTCTTAATTAATACATGTATAATTAGTTGAGGTATGATTTCTGTCATGACTAGATTGTCTTGTCTTAATTCGGATATGCAAATTACCACAAATTAATCGAGAGCAGAGGTTTCCAAGAAAGATATTGAATTTTTGAAAGGGTTAAGTCTTATTTGGAAAAGGTGTAATTGTCATTCGGAAAAGTTTTAATCAAAGTTTATTTTGGAGAATCTTACGTTTGATTACTTAGGGTTCCATTTAATAATCTAACCCATCTCAACAAACTAAATTGATAATTGACAAACTCTTGATAATTTCGCCATGTTCGAGTCAGTGTGGCATTCAATCATACCATGGAGGTTCTGATTTGTAAGCAAATCAATTTCACCGGATCATAGGGTAAATCAAAGGCTTTCAGAAGTAAATCGTACGTTTTGGACTATCAGAATTCTGCGTCATGAATTAATTATGAAATCGATATTATGGAAAGCGTTTATTATAGTATTAGATAAAATGACATTAACGTGGATGAGGATCTGTAGGTGATGGTAAGGCTAAACGGAACTAATGAAGAGTTCATCTCAGGAAGTGGTTTTAACAGAACAACATCGAGCTTATATGCAACTATAGAGTTTTTAATGGCCATACTAATATGGTTTGGAAACGGATTAGTTTTAGTTGCCATAGCAACCACGCCAAAACTAAGAAATAAAACAAATCTTTTGGTTTTCAGTTTATCAATATGTGATATGTTTTCGGGGATTGTGTTTACCCAATGCGCATTTGTGAGCTTTATATATTCTCGGGGATTCGATGATGTTGAGCCGCTGTGTCTGAGCTGTCTTGGATTAATGGCCTTCACGCTTACCGTTTCCTTGGAGACACTTTTGGCTATCGCCGTAGAGCGATACATCAAAATTGTACACGCTCTCTCCTACCCACAGATTATTACCAAGTTTAGAGTTATCATTGCCGTCATCATGATTTGGATCAGCAATGTGCTCCTACACTGCAGTTACACGTCGCACGAAACTGGGGACAATTAGAGTAACATTATGGCGTCAAAATGCCAAAACAATACAATGGGCAGTATAGGGCGCAATCAGCATTATAACGTCAAAAACGACAAGCGTTACATTTTGTCAAGTTTAGTCAACCTAAAAATAAGATGCTTTATTCTTATTCAATCCTGGTAAAATTCACAGAGCAACAAGATCTCGAGGACAATATTTCTAAAATGTTTTTGATTTTTGAAAAACGGTCAGGAAATCCACTCGGGGCGTTAGTAAAAATTGATGTGTATTGGATTTGTGGTAAAAAATCGATGTGTTACATTTTTTCAAGTCTCTAAAAGCAACTCTTATTCTCTTATTATTTGAAAAATAAAGAAATCTGTTATTGTTTTGTAAATTTCGCCATGACAATATTGTGCAGTAACATTTTTTTTGAAATCAGACCTAAATTAGAAGGTTAAATAAAGGTAAACTTATTGCTTGTCTCCTTCGCCTTCAAAACCTTACACAATTTTGAAAATCTTAAAAGCGTTCATATAAGACGATTTGAACTGTAGCCGCTAGGCAATTGTGACGTCATAAAAGCACATGTTTCAATGAATAAAATGTGAAATTTTAGTAAAATCCTGATCAGTATTTCAAAAGTTATCCCGATTTCAACGAACCATGTAAGCGTGAAATGTTACGCCTTACAGCGTATTTGACGATGTCGGAGTACATTTAACTTCAAAAATATGGTAGATCCCATCACACTTTTCGAGGAAAAATAATTTCAGTCAAATGCGAATAAAAAATACTTCAAAATGATATATAATGCACATAGTTAGCTTTTTAAATAAGCCAGATATTAACGCTTAAAGCTGAGATTAGCCCGTATTTCTCGAATTGTCCCCAGGTCCGTGCACGTCATAAGTACGTTCTTTTGGAACAATTACACTTCGACCAAGCGTTGTCATATAATAGACATTCAGACAGTTACATATCTTATCGTTGCCATGTCAATCTTAGTCGTTGCTATGGTAATCATAAATGTACTGTATACTAAGATATTCACGATTGCATGGAAACAGAGGAATGAAATCATATCCATGGAGAAAAGTGCGGGGGTCTCGTCCAGTATGGCCAAGGAAAACAAATTAGCAAAAACAATGGCTCTCGTGAACGGGCTACTCTATCTCTCATGGACACCCTTTGTAATGTTAACGTTTGTACAATTAGGGATGGACGACGAAACGTTAAACACACAATGGATGGGGCACATTTATTATAATTTCACACACGTTCTAGTTGCGAATTCTTTACTTAATCCGCTCATCTATGCAGCGAGAGACAAAGATTTTAAGAATGCCTTTAAACGACTCCTTCGATTGAAAGCTCACGGTAATGTGGTGACGAACTTAAACTCCAATTCTCAGCCCACTGCATCCTCCGAACGCAATGCTTCAGAACTCGTTCCTCCATTTTCCAATAAAATAGAAGCTTGGAAATGAGACAATGAGCGTTTGGAGGATCAGCCAAATAGTGCGTCAAGTGGTAACTATAGCCGAAAATCTGGAGATGTTGTAGACATATATAATTCAAATTGAAATAATGTATGTACAAAGATATAATTTTGGTACTTG